CATATTATTCTAACCTACATGTACATGTACCGTAAGTTACCCCGAAACACGACTTTTGATTTTTATGAATAAGTTTTTTTTTTTAATTCTCAATCAGTGATTTAAATCATGTAAATCAAACAATACTGTTTAAGTGATTTATGTGGGAGCACTCTTGTGCCCTTCTGCAGGGAACCTGATGAATTACAAAATTCACATGCACTGTCACAGAGCTCCATGGTGCTATACACTGTGCATGCCCTTGGACCTACTGTATGTATGAATGACAAGTAGGCCATATTGGGCTACTAAAAATAGGACATGGCATGTATCTTAGGTGCATTGTTATCATTACTGACACGTCATCATAAATGCATTATTTTAAATCAAATATGAATCTTTCTCTAGTCTGAGTATCATCCGTTGTTCAACGGAGCTCGCTCCAAAACAATGTTGATACTGCGAGTATGCAAAGCTTATGCGACCCGCATACCAGCCAAGAGGGGTCGACTGTAGAAATGTTGACATCAGTTCGATCAGAAATGTGGACTTAGCTGTTGATTGGTCAATTTGGCTGCCATGGTTTTGTAACAACTACAGGTACTGATAGAAGACGCCTGCTGAATGGTCAAAGCCTGGAGGACAATACGCAGTCTTGTTTTGCAAAATTAATCGCCAATTCTGCATAGAATTCGCTAGTGATTCAAAATATTCCCATACATGTATGTTGTGTACAAATTTGAAAACGTTTTCTCCAAGTCCGTCATTTTAATTGATCAGAAATAGTCAGCATCATTTGGTAAAGGAACCAGACTACACGCACTGCAGCGATATTTCGCGTGCGTGGAGCCAGTAACCAGTTACCATACAATTGGCGTTTGTGTAGTTGGGTCATTCCACGAAGTTGAGGATTGGAACAGGCCATAATTTTCTGAGTTCTGATTATAAAACACTTTTTCTTTGTTATGGAATGGTTGTTTCTAAAACAAATGTCATTTGACAATAAGGCCATAAGATAAGCTTTTAAATGATACCACACTCTATGATATTCAAAAATAATTTTCATACCCAAATTCTGTTAATGTTATGGCGTCCGACATAAAAAATGAGGAAAAAGTGTGACAAAGTGCATCCTACGAAATCAGTAACGCACTTTTGCCATGTAACCCCAATCCTCCAAAATCCTCCACTTTGGCAAAGTGGATTATGAAGGATTCAGGGCAGTTATAATATAGGGAAATATAGGGAACAAAATCCACTTTTATAAGTTAAGGTTATTGGACTTACATGTACTAAATTAGTTAGCAACATTACAAACCAGCAGGTAGGCCTACATGTATGCTGTAGATAGAAGGCAGGGTTTTTATTTATTTAAGGGAAATTTTGGGTTAAAGCGACAACAGAACACAACATGAAAATCATGAAAACAAAGATGGCGATCACCGCGCGCGACGCAGAGTGAACACAAAACCGCGTTGATTTGCATGGCACCAACCAAGGCATAAAAAGTAATATTGCATCACAAGAGACTGTTGAAATTAAGTCCGAGTAACTTGGACCCTACAAACGCCTTTATTAACATTCGGACATGGACTGGCGATAGGGTCCAGCAATAGGGTTTGAGTTACATGTACATGGCAGACATGGTGTCTGGTACATAAACAAAAATTGCCATTTGCAAACAAAAAACAGAAAAATGTGACGCTACCTGATGCTACTTTCAAAACAGAAAAAAAGACAAATTTTTTTGCTTACCTTGTACAATGAACCTCAGAAAGTATACTTCCATGTGAGAACTGCAAGGAATAAGTTGACAAAGTCTTTAAGAGAGATTTGAATGCAAATGTGTGGCCAACTTAGTGAATTTTTACATGTCACCGCATGTTTCCACCGTCGATGATCACGTGTCAGTTGACGACGTCAACATGCACGGACATGTAAAAAATTCACTAAGTTGGGCCACATACATGTATTCGCCTACAAGTCTCTCTTAAAGACTTGTCAACTTAGGCCTATTCCTTACAGTTCTCACATGAAAGTATAATCTGTGAGGTACAATGTAAGCAAAAAACCCCTTGTCTTTTTGTATTTCGAAAGTGGCATCAGGTTGCAACATTTTTTGCGATGATTTGGATAGAGGTATGTAAGGTTAAATACTTACGATCCAAATAAAAAGTGAAATTTCACGTCTATCGGCGAATGCTCTGTCGCGAATACAGCATGGACGCCATTTTGAATCAGCTAGCTGCAGCGCTGTGGCTAACTTGTGCATGGCTATGCCTAGCATTTGTTCAACAGGCCAATCACAGGTGCCTCGATGATGTCGTATTATATCATTATATTAGGAGAAAAGAAGTCTGCTTAACAGGTTGAAATAGTCGTTTTGGAATGATAAAGAACACCATTGAGCCATCGTGCTTGTCCTTCACTCTCTAATTTGATCAAAACTAAAGAGGGGCCCTTCACTGCACAATCGCTTGAATTTGAAGTGAAATAGTTTTGATCTTTGGAAAGAATTGCGTACTGGGCCACCACTTACTTGCCGCCAAACACATCAATGTTCACCTCACCTTCTGATTTCACCCAAGATGAATCCAGGAAGCCTCGACAATGCAAAACAAATTTAGGAAAAATATGTTTTTAGAGCACATTTTGGATGCCCACGTCATGCAGAACTAAGCTAGAGGCAGCCGGTCATATTGATTGAAGTGTCTGGAAGACAGCGGTACATTATCCGCTTCGTTAGTGTGACGTTAGTTCAGTTTAAACCACGCCCACTGGCCATTAAGTAGCATTGGAACAATTGGAACCGGAAGCTAACGCAACTTGAGTGTTTATCCAAATGGCACTAGTAATCAGTGGTGTGCGTGCATGTATGACGTTTTTAGTAACGAACCGGATAGGCATGACATCGACAACCATGACAACGCATGAGCCGGCCAATGACAGTGCAATATGTCATTATGAATATCTAATTTCTCATGAATATTTAGTTTATTTCAATGGATACTTTAAAAACGTCCAAATGATTGATCATTGCAACAAGCGATCGTGCGCGGTATAGCAGTAAAAGTGTAGCAGTAAAAGGTTCGAATCTCGATGAAGTAAGTGACTGATTAATAAATAGAAATAAAGGAAAGGAGAGGGTGAGAGTAGAGAAGGGAAAGTGGAGGAAATAACCATAAAGGATGAACTTTTTGGCGCTTGAAAAAAAGTGGTGGCCTGGTACGGAAATCTTCCCTGATCTTTCACTTCATGACTCCCATGCAAACATATTTGAGGCTAGGGAAAGTCTACCATACACGTACGCCACTTTTTATCAATCAATTTTCAAGCGCCCAAAAGTGACCTTCTATGGTTCTTTCATCTGTTTTCCCTCCTCGACTCTCACTCTCTACCCTCCTTCAATTCTTTTTATTCTCCAATTCACTGCATACATCAATAACCAATGCAACAAATGGCCGACAAGACTGTCTGCTGCCGAGCTGATGTGCACATGCAAAATGTGCTCTATAAACACATTTTTCCGAAAATGTCTTCACATTTCCAAAGCTTTCTTGATTCGTCTTAGGTGAAATCTCAAGGTGAAGTGAACATTGAGGTGTTTAACTGGCAGATAACTGACGTACTAGTGTGGAATTTATTCCAAGGTGAGTTATACAGTCATTTTCCAAGTTCCGGATAGCAAACATCATTCAGGCTGCTTTGTCTCAACTACTCCACGAATTCAAGTGACATTGGTTAAAAAGTTTACCTTGAGTGATGGAGATGCTACACAATAATTTTCCAAATTTAAGCCCCTTTTAAGTTGACTTTACGACGTTAAAAGTACGGATGCACTTTTTCTAGTTCCGGATCGATTTAATCAGTTCCAAATTGATCAAAAACTGCTTCGGGCGAATTAAAAATCACGCGAGAAAATCAATTTTTCAGCCAGAACCAGTGCCACTCCGAATCAAGCACATTTTCTGATAAATTATTATTTAATTTTCCATAAATAGTTAACTCAAGAGAATCCCAGCAAATTTTAAACAGAGAATTGACATAAATGACTTTGAAACTTTGGTCTGCAGCACAACGGCACGAATTCACGCACGGAACAAAAACCTTTAACCCAGCACAGAATACGTTACACAAAATCGATTAACGCGCATGTAGCTGGCAAAAATATACGGTCATTCGTTGGGGAATTTTCAAATACTAGAGACTCTAAAACTTATTTTGATTCAACAAACATTCGATGGAAGAATTATACGACTATCTGACTGTAGTGTATGAACAAAAAATTCGAAATCACACGGTATGCAGGGGTGTGAGTGACCACTGATAAAAATAGCTGAAAACAGCTGAAAAAGGTGTAAAAAAGCTGAATTTTGGAAATCTCCTATACTTTTGTACACAGCAAGTGAAGGGAAATAGCTGAAATCCAAAACAAAAAAAGCTGAAATCAGCTAAAAAGCTGAGATTTCACACCCCTGGGTATGAGTGGTGTACCGAGGAGAACATTTATCGTTGATTCGCAGCTCCCGACATGCCCGAGATTTTCTACAAACTGTCCAAACATGTCAAAGTGTGAGTCAGTAATCTGGACCAAATTTCTCTTCTAAAGATTGTATCGTAAAGATCTTTGTGTAATCAGTAATCATGAAGCTTAACATTACATTTTTTCTTTTCAAAATGCACTTAGTCAGAAAAAAATTTATTGGAGACTAGCCTAATCCAAAAGAGGTAGGTTTTTATTGAAGCGATCTGGAACTAGGACAAATCCGAAACTAGGAAAACAACTGTAGGCCTATTCCCTTTTCAAAGCAGAAAATGAAGAACTACATCTCGTCACAAAGTGTTCTTAATCTTACTGAATCCTCCATGCAATGTGTAACAAAAAAATGGATTCTGACGGAGTGTTTGCAAGATGACAAACGACACACAAAACCGGCAACAAAATGCCGGTAAAAGAGCGCCATTTTACTTTCTAAACGAGACAGAAATGTGAAATTCTGATAGGGAAAGGCTATACATACACAATGTCGGATTTCAGTAGATTTTCTGGCGGTAGAAACTGATAAATTTTTGCCGAAATTGTCGGAGAATGTTCCACCTTGTTCAAAGGACCAGCTTCTCTCTGCAGCGCAGAACGTAGAGAGTGACCTCTGCTCAAGCCCTTCCGGTTGCGCACCAGCTGAATTAGATTCTGCACAGTCTGAGCATAGTCTGAGTTGTTTCATCAATTATTTAAATAAAAATTAGAAACATTCATAATCTACAAGTAAAATATCAAAAACATTTTTTTTTACGCAGCCTAACCCCGGACCATGGGCTAACTGAGTTTTTAATCGCATAAAATGTTCACGCGCACGAACGATTCGTCACATAATTTGCGTTTGTTAATTACGTCAGTGTCAACAAGAGAGGGCGCTACGCCAATTTAACAGTCATGCATGCGTGGTATTTGACAAAATGACTTCCAAAGTGTAATTCTGAGTGCCCTGGCGCGGCTAGTGGCTTTTTGCAGAGGTAAAAAAAAAAAATGCAATTTGGCAACTTAAATATAACAATGAATTTGTTATTTGTTAACAATATCAAAATTAATTAAAAAAGTGTTTCGATTTTGTTCTTAAGATGATGCTTTGTCAGGATATAATTACCTTTGTAGCGTTAAATAGTGAGGATTTACGGTAACATCTCAGGTTTTAGAAGATGTGTGGTTCTGAAAAGAACGTACCGGACGGTGAAACAATATGTTCCGATCAGTATGCTCTGATCGTCTTCAATATAGAAAGCCGGACAGAACGGATGAGGCTGCATTAATAGGGCTGCATGATTACTGAGGCGTGGCGATGTGGTGGACTCGTTCTGAAGGCCATCGCTGAGGCTCACTGAGCCGTGTCAGTAGAGGGTAGGTTACGTGGCAGAGGCAGGCGCGGTTCTAGAACCAATATTTTGGGGGGACTAGCACGGTGGATCCAGAATTTTTTTCAGGGAGGCGTGCTGAAATGTTGACCGGTTATTTTTTCCAGACACTTAGGCCTCCGAAAATCAATAGGGGGGGGGGGGGGCGGAGCTCATGCCATATTTTCAATGGGGAGCGCCAATAAAATCCTAAAATCATTCACACTATAGCAAGGGCGAATCCAGAACACAATTTGTTTTTTTGGGGGGGGGCCAAAAAAAAATTTGGTCCCTCAAAAAAGTGGGTCCAAAACATTACGGCGTGGGGTTCGGGGCCCGCTTAAGGGCCCCGAACAATTTTTGGATTCTAGATGCTCTGTGGTGCGATCTGAGGCAATTTCTGACAACTTTAACAAATTGTTTTTGAGGAAAAGATGGTGGTGTACTCATTGCCTGCCTTTATTGCGATGTCACATAAAAAAAAAAATGGTTTCGTTTTGGGGGCCATGGCCCCCTTTGGCCCCCCCCCCTCCTGGATCCGCCCTTGCACTATATTAACTAATGCACCCTTGTCACGGCTATTTCTTCTTTAGGGGGAGACCGTTCGCATGTACATCACAATCCTCCTTTTTGTTAATGCAATATTTTTTTTTTTTACGGCATTTATTTTTTGGGGGGCTAGACAAAATTTTGGGGGGGCTACAGCCCCCCCTAGCCCCCCCGTAGAACCGCGCGTGGCCGCAGAGGGTATAGGAGACCTAGTCTGATAGGACTCTACGAATCGCCTTTTTAAACATTTGGACACGGTCTGGCTCGTTTATATTTCGTGACTCCATCCCACAGCTAATTTTGTATAGGGAGGGGGGGGGGTTCAAACCGATGTTCCCCAGTCCCTATATAGTTCTGCAGTCCTTATGTCCTTAGGTTAGGGTTGCGGGGACGGGTGAACATAGGGACGGGTGCTCACCTATCTTCCCTAGTCCCTAGTTCCCCCGAATTATAGAGATCACGAAAAACAGAGCTCTGCGCGCGCAGGAATTTACATAGATTTTTGTGGAGTGCACCCTCGAGTCCCGCCCGGACGGTCTTTCAAACGCTTAGCCGGATCTTGCGCGAAATAAGAAATGTGCACGTGAACTTGACAAAACTGGATGAGATACACCTCCGGCCATTGACGGTGCAGGATTGACGGTAACAATGGCGAATTCGCATGAGACGTTATCTCAATATGAATCCCGCGGCACGGTCCCCGACCCTAACCCGGCCTTGAACCCACGAGCCTAGGACTGGTGAACATGGACTGGGGAACATAGGGGACTGCAGCCTATACTTGTGTGACAGATTGTAGAAATAGTTCTAGAGATCATGCATGGACTTTTGGCTTCCCACTCTGGGAATTCGTTTAAATAAAACAACAACAACGTCTGGATCTATTTAGCATAGAGGACGGGGTATAAACATGGGCCAGAGATTGGCAACCGTTTTAGGAGTGGTTTGTGTGAGGAGACTATTTCAAACAAAATCGAATAGGCCAATTCTTGTAAATTTGAGATGGGAATTGTCCTTCTTTAATTTCCAGCGTACATCGCCGCCATGATTTAGTTGTAAGTCACTTTTTTTCCCGCTCAGCAAGTTTTTATTGGCGGTGTGAAAACACAGGGAATGCAATAATGAAATCATCTTGGCACAGTGAAGTGGCAGACGAAGTTCAATTCAGACAAATGCCATGTGATGCAAGTCTCTCACCGCATATACAACATCGACTTTGACTACCACCTGGCCGATGACGCACATATCAACTTGAACATCACCTTAAAAGCCAACTGGATGCTATAGGGCTTATTAAATATTAAAAGGATTGTAAAGTACTGCCACCCATGAAACTTACATCTCTCCGGTCAAGCCACATCTAGAATATTGCTCCACTTTTTTGAATCTCTATCATTAAACCACTGTCAACCAGGTCGAACCATCCAGAAGAGAGCCGCAGCTATGTGGAGAGCATCTACCAACGAACCGTGCTGAGAGTTCAGAAGGGAAGCAGCCATCAAAACCATGCTGTACAAGATATCCCACAAACCTCACTACAATAATTAACAAAGTTCAGGTCCTGACCCCCATGACAAATACCAGACTATAAACTACCAAAGATACTAACTTCTCATAACCCATTCCTCCAAGGACATCTACAAGTTCTCCTTCAGCAGTCCGGCTCTGGAAGCGGCCCTTCCTGCAGACGTCATCACAGTTCCATCAGTGGACGTCTTCAGGGCACACATCTCTGCAACTAGCTCCAAGATTTGAGTTTTAACTCGCACTTGCATTTTCTTTTGCACAAGCTTCCCCGCGCTGCACATCAACGTTAACATCCAGAAGTGGACTTTGCTAAGTACCGGCGTAGATGAAGTAACCGAGGAAGGTGAAAACAAAACTTGCTAATGGACTCCCAGCTTTAACCCAAGTTTACACAATACTTCCCTAATTTCACCAGGAGGATCAGTAATTTAAACAAAATTATATATATATATATATACAGGGTGGATAAAAAAACGAAACCGAGATATTATTGCTATTTGGAACAGAAGTAGGGCACATGTGAATCAAAAGGAGATATCCTCTGCTGGGGTTGAATCTCCTCTTTAAAATGACACCCTGGTCATGCCATTACATTCACGATTGACTGAGCAGTGACTAATTTTATGAAAGGGTCTATTTAGAGAATTGTGCCACTTTTCAACTGTGGTTTTGTGTCATTTGTCACAGAGTGAAAGGCTATCATGATGGTTGCCAATCAAGGCAGGTGGGGAAAAAAGAGATTTCACCATGAAAAGTGGCGCAAGTCTCCAAATAGACCCTTTCATAAAATCGGTCACTGCTCAGCGAATGTAAGGACATGATCAGGGTGTCATTTTAAAGAGGAGATTCAACCCTAACAGAGGATATCTCCTTTTGATTCACACGTGCCCTACTTCTGTTCCAATTATCAATAATATCTCGGTTTCGTTTTTTTTTTTTATCCACCCTGTATAGTTCGTCCTTCGAAACTAGATGATGACAGCAAACATCCGGCTCCATACTAGTTGGTGTTGTGTGTTCGTAGATGGCTAATAAGTCCAATTCTGGCCAGGAAGTTAAGGTCACAAACTGGACACACTGGATCTGGGGGGGGGGAGGGGGGGGGGGAGTTGGACACGTGGAGAAGCATAGCTCATGAGATTTTCGTTGCTGTCGTTTCAGCTCAGCCTCCCTGATGCGACAGGCTTCGAGCTTGATGGTAGCAGACCAGTAAATAAACTTCCATAGACCCCAATGGTAAATGCTCCCACTTCAGAAATTCGGGGAAAATACTCACAACTCTCCAAGGTGTTCGAGACACACATCAAATTAAAGCTTATTTCATCATCTTTCATTTTCTTTTCAGTTTTCGGGGGTCAACTGATGACTTTTAGAAGAAATTTCCATCTGAAGATGATCACCCCTGAAAATAGTCCTGAAGCCCATCGCCATTTTGAAAAAAAGATGCCTACACTCCATTGCAAAATAGAGCGCTTTTAGGGTCCAAATTACATCCAAATTACACAGAACTGCAAGCTCCCAGTCCTGTGCACGGCTTCCACCCATATGTTTTACAAACCCTCAAGTTCATGGCCCACAGCATGCTCAAATACTGAAGATTTTGAGGGCATGCAAATCGTGATTTGGCCGGCGTAGGCAATTTCGGACCGATTTACTGGTCTGCACCCTGATGCACCTTCGTGGGGTGATCTTCGCCACGCTGTTCGATCCTGGGTATGTTCTTCCCAGCTACTCAATTGATGTTGTAGCTCTTGAATTAACCACCTGCAGCCGATCTTTTGCCTGTTGTTAGTTCACCGTAGAGTACCGGTATCTTTTTGGGGAGTCGATCATAATAGTGTAGCGGCGGTGCCGGGCCGCCGGCAGAGGGCGCCAGCACGGACCCACGGTGCAACCGTAGCGTCGGGACCCCTGCTGCTGGGCCAGGGAGACCCGTTGCCAGACTGCGCCGACTCAGTAGTGTGACTTTTGTATAGCGTCCCTTTTGTTGTGAGTTGTATAAAGTGAGAGCCTCGTGTAAAGAAAGTGGCAAGAATAAATGGCCGGAGAGCCCCGAAGCCCTGAAGAATAGAGTCTGTGGTTTCCTTCGTCTGGCGTGTGAGAACCCCAGAAGTGTTCTACGTTACATTGGTGGCAGCCGTGGCATGTCTGACGGAGGAAAAACAGGTAGAATTTGGAGTGTTTTTCGCCATGAATACACCGGATCGAGTTAGTCTGGCGTCCGACTCGCCACTCGGCGGGTACGCACGCTGGATCAGGGCCTCGCAGAGCGTAAACCAACCTGGTGAGATGGCCAGCAAAGCGTTCGTCACGTTGGATGACTCGGAGTTGGACTTTTTCAGTGTTTCGGGGAGCCAGCTAGGCCCACATGCTACATCCCATGGAGAATCGCGCCGCACTGTGCACCACGGCGCAACAGACGCTC